CAATGTGGCCAATTTTCCTATGGTTTTGCTATTACCAGCAATGTATTATGAACATTCGTGCACATATCCTGATACAGGTGTGTCAGAGCCATCTAGGTATTTGCCCCGGACTGGAGCAGTTGAGAGGAACCTTGGTGGCCCAGTGGTTAAGCACTGGGCTGCTAACAGAGAGGCTGGTGGTTCAAAGCACTTGCTCTATAGGAGAAATCGGTGGCAGTCTGCCGCTGTGAAGACTGACAGACGGAGAGGCCCTATGGGACAGTTCCACTCTGCCTGGTAGCTCACTGGGAGTTGTAATTGATCGGGGGCCTTAGTTTGGATTCGAAAGTGCTGAGTCATACAGAGGCAATATTTGGAAGCTCAGCTCATCCAGATAGATAGTGTTAATGCATTTTCCCACAGTGAGGCTGGTTTGCTCTGCACCAATGTCACTTCCCGTCAGCAGTGTATAATAGCTCCATTTCCTTCATGCCACTTTGGGTATAATTTGCATTTCTTTGATTACTAAAAGAGTTGAGTGTTTTTTCCAAAACGAACTGGCTATTTGAAAATTTCTTTTAGGAAGTATTTTTGTACTTTATGTATTTATTTTATTTGGTTGACTGTTTCTTGTTGGTGTGAAGAGGGCCTTTCTGTAAATAGGCATACTAGTGCTTTCTTAAAAAGTTTTTTCTCTTTATTACTGATTTTGATATATGATTTTCAGAGTGTTTTTTAAATGACCCATGTATGGCCAAGTCTAATTACAATTTCACACACAAGCTTGACAACAATGTGCATTCTACAGCTGTTGTGAGTAGAGTTCTATATATGCCCAATCAGTCCAGCCTGTTAGTCATAAATTCAATTCTTCTATTTTCTGAACTTTTTTGTCTGACCTCTTTTAAAAAATAAATACAATTACTGTGATTCTTATTTAACACAATTTCCAGGAGATATGTTAGAACATCCCACTGTGATTGCAAACGGCCAATTTTACCTTGTTGTACTGCCAAATTTTGCTGTGTGTCTTTGAGTTCATGCTATTAGGGGTACGCAAATATAAAACTGTAATGTCTTTTGATGAAATGAGTATTTACCAATCCAAAATGACCCTTCTTATCTTTAATAGTGCTTTTTTTTGTTTTGCTTTAATGTCTGCAATATATTTACACCAGCATTGTTATTCAAAAACAAAACAAAGAAAGGTGCAATAGTCTTATATACACCTCTTGCAGCACACAAGCAAGTCCAGCAGTAGATTAAATTCCCTGACATGCAATTGCTGGGTAAAAGGTTATTTGCAACTTAAAATTGATCAGTAATGACACTGTGTCTTCTAAAGAGACTGCAGCAAACACAATTCCACTATGAGTGTATCAATGCTTCTACGTGGACATCTTAAAATCAGAACTTCTTTTGCTCTGCTGTGGGAGAACTCGGCTTCTTTGGATTAAAACGTGCGCCTGCAGTGTCCCGTCCCTTAGCAAGAATGGCCTGGAAGGGAGTCTGGCTGGGGAAGACTCACCTTGCTGATTTCGGTCAGGGACATGGTGATGCTGTAGAGTTGGTTTTTACTGGTGCTGGCAATCAGGGTTTCCTCGGAGGGGCTGAAGCACAAGCAGAGAATTTCCTGTTTGTCAGACTGAGTCGGGTCACTGCTCTGAGGGTCCGCAGGAACCTGCCCAACATGCAAAGCACCAATCAGCGATGTCCCCACACTGCCAGTGTACCGTTGGGCTTTCAGAGTTTTCCTGGATGCTCTCAGCTTACAGACTAGACCAGGATCCTCCCTGGGACCTCCTGAGGGGCAGAGAAGCACTGGAGTCCCATCTGGTTCTCTGGGTTTTAACCGCCACTATGCATTCGCTGTGCTGTGATCAGAGGCTGCATCATACATACTTACACGATCCCCTGCATGGGGACACAGCTGTTTAGCTCTTTTAGCACTGAGGAATTAGAAAGCTTCTCAGGGCGACATTGCCTTTAGAAAGCCTTTTTCTGGGGGATTCCTATTTTCATGGGAATAAAGACACAAGGGCATTCTCTCTATCAGTCAGAGGCACATGGCCACCAATCTGTGCATCTCAATGTGAGATCCCCTCTTCAAACAAGCAGTAGTGAATACCACTCCCTGCTGTTCTCAGAAGCGTGTGCTCATTTAACTCCAAGTACCACAGTGTACCCTGCAGGGCAGGATCAGGGGTGGGGTGGCCACCGGTCTCCCCTGTAGGTGGCAGGGCAGAGGAGAGAAGGGGTCACACAGCTACTTCCAGCAGCCTCCGGGAAGGTCTACAATTACGTTAGACTTCCTTTTCCCTACTGCTTATCTTCGCCCAGTGAACAGTCAAATTGACTGAAAAGCTGGCCTGCACATCCCACTGCTATTTCCTTACCACCCACTCAGTTCTCCATTCCTTTTAAGTTGGCTTCCACTGTATTCTTTGCTGACACTGTCCCCGTTGAGGAGCAGCAGTTCCTTATCATCAAAGACAGACCCTGCTGCTCAGCCCCTCTGGACTTCTCAAGAGTCCACAGCAGCATCCTCACCACCTTCTTTAGGGAACCAGCTCCACCTCTCTGCCCGCCCAGGGTGGCTCTGGGAGGCTGCCCTGTGAGGGGCTGAGTTGTGTGCCCCTCAAATAAAGAGCTCTTCAGTGCCACATTGCCTTTAGAAAGTCATTTTGGGGGCACTATTTTCATTGGAGTGAAAACCCAAGGCCATGATCTCTCTGAATCAGAGGCATTCGATCACCAATCTATGCATCTCACTTTGAGATCCCCTTCAACCAAGCAATAGTCTAAATCTCCCTCCCTCCCACTTCCCAGAAGCACGTGGCCACTTGGCTCCAAGCACCAGTGTGTACAGGAGGGCAGGAGCACCCTTTACCCCACTAGAATCCCAATGGCTATACCTGTGGATGCAATCCCATTCAGAAATAGGGTTTTGTTTTGCTGATGAGGTCATACGGATGCAAGGTGTTTTAAAGCCAACCTTTTCTGAGTCATCAAGAGGCAGATTAGATGCAGAATCATGCACAGAGAGCAGACGAAGTGTGGAGATAGATGCCCATGTTGGCAAAGGAGCCAAGGAGCTCCAGTTGCTATAGCAGCTCAGAGACAAGGACCTTCCCCGAGAGCCTCCTGCAGAGCTAGGGCCCCGCATGCAGGAACAGTGTGCAGGTAAGGGTCTGTTCCTTAAAGCGAGCTACTTGTGGCATTTCTAGTACAACAGTACTAGGAAACTAAGCTAAGCCCCTGGCCTCCCAAGGAGGAGGCTGATATTCTCAAAATGCACCCATAATTCCCAGAATCTCACTCTGTTGTCACCTTCATCACGGGGCCCTTAGCTTGAGGACCTTGTCTGTTTGCTCACAGTTTGTCCCAGGAGCCGGGGGGACAATGTTGGGGCTGCTGACCGTAGGGTCAGTAGTCCAACCCATCAGCCTCTCAGCTCAGCGGGGAAAGAGGAGGAGAGAGAGCCTTCTCCTGGAAGCAACTTGCACTAGTGGATTAGCGTTGTCACCCCAGTGCTTGGGACCGTGTGCGGCA